CTGTGGTATTTAAGTAGTCAAGTTATTTTCAAGTGTTGCTTTAAACTTTTGTATGGTTTAATTTTATGTGTTAATTAAATTAACTCAAATATGTCATTTTTGTGATTGTTTATGCTAATTTAGCTATGTACAAATGCATATGTCATAATTTATTTTGTAATAAATCTTAAAGTTAATAACAGGAAAAGGACATGGAAAAGTACATAAAAATTATTAAAACTTAATTGGTCTTTTCTGCATATTCTTAACAAATGCATTCCAACAGATATGTTTTTCATGGATTTATTTGTAACTTTAAATAAAAATTGTTCTCAAGTTAACTGCTCATTGTGTTACACGTAACAATTTGTTTCTTTGTTGAAACGTGCCTTTAAGATGACATTTAAGGTTAATAAAGATTGTATGCGGATATGTTTGTAAAGGAAAAGCAAAAAGATAATAAAAGTTTAATAACGACTTTGTTTAAATTAATTTACTTAATAGATACTCCATGATTATATGTGTAATGTTTAAAACACATCTTTATATTTCATAGTGCAATTAATATTTTGTTTTCACAATAAGAGCTGCTGATGTCATGAAATCAATGATTTTACTAACCTGAATAGGTTTGTAAATTATGGTATAAAACTTCGTGTAGGAGCATACATATTCATTTTTTCCTTTGGTTTTTTAACTGTTTTTTTGTTTTTAAAAAGGAATTTAGTAACTTTCTGACATCTTTGTAAATGCCAATGCATTCTTGAATTTATCCTCATTTTCATTCTCTTGTGCACCTCGTTTAATCTCCAAAACAGTAGTGAAAAATTTATCACTGTCTTCGTGAATACATTATAAGCATCAACTATTTAATTTCTATAAATAAGGTATATCTACTTAAAAGGGCTAATTTTTCTGATACAAATTTCCTTGCTTCACCTTAAAATTCGCAATTTTAAAGCTGTCTTTGAATACTTACAGTCGTCACAAAAACTAATTAAATGACAAGAACAATGTTGTGATTTATCTTAAACAAATATAGAACAAAATTACGATGTGGTAATAATGTATGATATTTACTTCGATTTGCAGTAATCATCTTATAAGTTGTAATTTGATTTTAGAAAAGGTTATGTATGCTTGTTTAAAGTCGTTTTTTGTGCAAATTAGCACTTTATCAGTTTAGTAAAACTGGAATCTAATGTGACTAATTTCGAAATTTTAATTGAAGCTGTGATAATTTTCAGAATCTTTTTCAGTGAAAAGTATTTGTAAATATAAAATGTTTGGCAATCAGTAAACGGCACTTAGAATTTCTAACAATAATGTACTTCAATGCATTATCTTTAAATCCGTATGTTTCAGCAAATTGGAAATTTATTTGTAGCTGGAAACCTTAAGCGCTGTTAGTTTAGTGAAGGAAATTATGAAATGATAATGACTTGCCACCGGCATAAATCTTTCTTTTAACTTGATTTTCCTCAGAATAATTGGATGTATGTTACGACAAAGCACTTTTGAAACATTTTTTTTTTGTATTTTCAGACTTATAAGACCGCTGATTTAAAATACCCACATTAAAAGAGTTAAGATATTGGCGCAAATAAGTGTTTGCATTATTGGAGCGAAGATATATTAAATGATATATTAAAGGGAAAGACAGGGTTAGAATAAAAACTTGATTTCAGAAAAATAATACTATAAATAATAAATCTGCAAATTTTCTGCCGCCAAATAATAATATTAAACGAATGATAACAAAATTTAAATCGCTAAATCACCGATTTCTACAAATCAGTAAGCGCGGCCATGTTTGTGTATTGGTCGTATAAAAACAGGTGCGCGTGATGTCATTTCCCCACATCTTTAGATTTATGATTAATCTAGTTGAATCGTAGGGAAATATTAATATAATAAAGTATTGACCAGACAATTTAATTTTCACAGGAGGTGTAGAGGAGATTTTTCAAAATACGTAACAATATCAAAAAAAAATAAAAAAATAAAGAAACAAAAAAAAATCAACGTCTACCTGTCGCACCACTTCAGGCCAGTGATGCCCGTTACTCCAAACAATGCTATGTTCATTAAAGTCTCATCTTAATGTAATTATACAATATTTCACAGATTTAATAAATACACATGTTATTATTTTCACAATCAAATAATGCAATTAAATAAACAAACGCACCAACGAATAATTGGCTGTTAATTATTGAACGGCGATAATTATCATTATTATAAAAATCCTATTAAAACGTGTTCGTAATGGTACATGTAATTAATTTTTTTCAGTTTGATTCTGACTTTCAAATTAAAAGGTGTGAACATTTGTTATAATTGATGTACACATTTCAAAAATATAAGCAACTCTTTTCAAAAGTAAATTGGTAACATGTCTGTCAACGTATCGTAGCCTAATATTAACTGCAGTCAAAACATTTCTATTGGCTGCTCAAAAATCTAATTTGCATAAATTATTCACACAATTGCTGGTTCTTACTACTTATGTCTAATACTGTGCATTGTCCATTTTAATTGTTCCTAATTTGCACCAAATGTTCCTGTCACACTGTGTACTAACGATTTTTATTGCTCCTTGTATGCCTCTGTGCCGACAGACCTTTTGATCACGAAAATGTTGCCCGTGATTAGTTAATCACCCTTGTTAAATATTCTAATGACGAAATAGACATCTATTTTTTGTTACGCTTCATCAGTGAACTGAATGACCTTAGGGGAAATTAAGTTCCACACCTGTCAAATTATACTGTAAATTACAGCATGTCATAAAATAGCAACACATTTTTTTCAGTTACCAATAATCATTTTAAATATAAAGTAGATTTATGATATTTTGTTTTATTGGATTAAATTTACGGTAGTAGAAATGCGTATCTGTGTGGGAAAGGAATTGGGTAAGTAGATAACGTGGAAAAAAGCTATAAACCCGAGAATACGCGTAATTACAGGGGAATGGGCAACCTGTTGCTGTTGGTACCAGTTTTGATTGGGTGCCTAAATAACCTAACGGACAGTTTTGTTTTTATACGATATTAGTCTGGCTGCCGATTTTCCTGCGCCATTCTCATTTTAGCGTCAATGGCGGAAAATCGCATCCTCAACAGATCTCTGCATATTGATTAAGTTGATATTTTACGCTGAAAATAGATACATGACCGGCGATGTACCCTATTCGGACAGCTTGTCTAGCGAAAATTAAGTACAAAATAAAAGGATATACCGTCAATTTGAAGAAGTTTCTCATAGTACCCAAATTAAATTAATGGTTTATCTTTGAAAATTAAGCAGTCATTGCTTAAATCATATCGTGGGATCATAAGCAAGCTTGAAAAGCGGACAAATGATAATTAATGTCGAGGCGTCTTCAATTAATTAATTAAAGCAATTCAGTTCCATATGATGTTTTCATAAATAATATATAATGTACGCAATAAGATTAATAAGTTCTTCATCAAGATATATTTCAGTTGTACTAGCGTGTACACCTATACCGGAAGTGGGTGTAACACGTCACAATCTCGGTCTCGTCTGTCTCGCGAGAATGACAGAACGCCAAAATGGCGGCGCCCATGAACTTATTTCTCAAGTTAAAAATAGTGTCTTTAAACACGAATTTCTCACTTATAGGGTTGATGTCAACAGAAAAACTGTCATGGTACCTCTTTTTAAATGATGAATATTTATATTAGACAGACATCAATCCATCCATTCCTATTCCTTTAAAGATCATTAAATCAATGATTACATTTTCAAATAGGATTTTCAATATGCTGTATAAAAAAACTCGTGTAGGAGTATGCATATTCGATTCGTATTGTTATTATTATTATTGTTATTGCTGCTGTTGTTGTTGTTGTTGTTATTATTATTATTATTATTATTATTATTATTATTATTATTATTTAATTATTACTTTTCGTTTCTATGATTCTTTCAAGTTTGTTCTGTGTTTTTACGTAATTTAGTAATATTCTGAATTCTGTGTTATGATGCAGCGTTATTTTCATTCTCTTGTGCACCTTTTTTGTCTCCCACACAGTTGCGAATAACTTATCACTGTTATTTTAAATACATTCTAAGCATTAACTATTTATTTTTATTAATAAGGTATATCTACAAAAAAAGGGGTTGATCGTTCTTATAAACTTTCCATATTTCATTTGTAAGATTTGCAATTTAAAAGCTGTCTTTTGAATCTTACAAATAGTCTTAGCAAAACCTAATTAAATGGAAAGAACAAAGTTGTGATTAATCTGAAACAAATATAGAACAAACAAACTAACAATATAGTAATAATGTATGATATTTATGTCGATTTGTAGTAACCATCTAATTATTTGTAATTTGATTTATGAAAAGTTTATGTATGCTTGTTTAAAATCGGTTATTGTGCCAATTAGTATTTCATCAGTTTAGTTAGATTTTTAGTGAAATTGTCTAACAATGTTTTACTTCAATGTATTATCTTTAAATCTGTCTGTTTTAGCAAATTGGAAATTTATTTTCAGCCGAAAACCTTATGCGCTGTTAGTTTAGTAAAGGAAATGTTGAAACGATAATGACTTGCCGCTAGCATGAGTCTTTCGCTTAACTTCCTATTGAATTTCCTCAGAAATAATAGGAGCACGTTACAGCAATTCACTTTAAAACTTTTTTATTTTCAGATTAACACGACCGTTTTTTGTTTTAAAATACCCACATTAAAGTTACATTTAATAAATTTCATAAAAACAGAAATATCGACATTTCATTAATGAATTGGGTTTCTTATTGACTCCAGATCTTATTTTGGTGTCCAGACGACCAATGAGTTTTATGTGCATAAAATGTGCAACCTCATTTTGGCGAATTCGGAAGTACAATTTCTGTTTGCACGAGAAACTCCGCCTTCAAAATATCCGTACATGAATGTTAAATCAACAAACATGACTTTAGGTAGTACATGTAGTTCTAATTTAACGGTATATTTCCGCGTTGTAACGGATGTTTTCATACAAAGAGCTAGGTTCACTAACCACCGAAAATGGCCCAACCTCAGAAATAGATGAAAAACATTTTAATTAGAGGTTCAATATATCTAGTTGATGAAAGAAACATTTTTTAACAAAAATTCTTAACGATGACGTCGAAATTTTCTCTTAATCATTAACGCCCGTTAATCCAGTTAATATCAGAATCAAACGTTTATTGATCTCGCAAAATAAAAATAACGTCTACTATATTTAATGTTTATTTTCCCTTTAAGAATAATCCTTACATGTACCCAACTAATTAGCTTTTATGAAATTAACTGTATTAATTAAATGTTTTCCAAGAATAAAGCATTTTTTAAGCAGTTAACCAATTTTCGGATATACAAAATTCGGACAATGTTATTTCTTGAAAAATATAAGTTTTGCGCTTTTAAAATTTGAATATGAATTGAATGACCATTAGATTTACAAAATTACTTAAGAAGAATTGATAACGAAATAAATAAAACTAGTTGCAGGAATAGTCAATAAGTATAATATTCATAAATATCACATATTTAACATAATAAATATAAACATAATGAATAAAACAAAATGATTTGGTTATGATGCTTGCAAAGTAAAATACAAACATAGCGTAAATAACAGAATGATTAATGTTAACATTGCTTTTTAAATAAAGGGTAAGAAAATAAAATCGATATTTAAATGAGCCGTGTCACGACAAAACCAACAAAATGGGTTTGTAACCAGCATGGATCCAGACCAGCCTGCGCATCCGCGCAGTCTGATCAGGGTCCATGCTGTTCGCTATTAGTTTCTCTACTTGTAATAGGGTTGGTAAGCGAACAGCATGGATCCTGATCAGACTGCGCGGATGCGCAGGCTGGTCTTGATCCATGCTGGTCGCAAACCCATTATGTTGGTTTTGTCGTGACACGGCTCAAATATTTGTTCTTGAATCTGAACAATCAACAAGCTACAAAAATATATGACAACTTTTTAAAGAAAATTTATATGATCTCGCTTGAAACTTAACCACAAGCAATTGATTTAGATATATTGAACAAATATGTGAAAAATTCAACAGTTGTTATTCAGCATCATAACACCATAAAGATAGAATGTCGGTATCAGTTCTTACACCATGTTTTTATCTCTGTGTAAATGAATAATGTAATAATATTGCTTGATATTTACTTTAAAAAACGAAAAAGTTAATAAAAATGAAAGTTGTATCAGCATTGTTTTATGGTAATGAGGTAAACAACGTCGCACGATATATCAGTCTGTATCGCTGCCAGATGATTCGTCAATTGCCACGTCGATTTTAAATTCAGCGGCGTCTGAAAGGTGTACACCCCAATCACGGACACCATAACTTTCTCTCCCGCTATGACGCCCGTTAGACAGATACCATACTATTGCAGCAATATGGGCACACATTCCAACGACTCTTGAGCCGCACCTGCACGTGCAATACCATCCATCTACTGCCTCGTTTTCAACTTGAATCCAGAGCATATATCTTTTTGATGAAGAGTGTCTGCTTTGCATCTTAACACAAAGTAGTTTTGGATCATCTGTGTTGACTGTAGAAATAAATGTTTAAATATCAATTGATCAAGTTTTGATGAGATTTTTATCATTTTACTAGATACTTTATAATACTGCACGTTTGTAACGTCGCTTTTCATTGACTACTCATGACGTTTATATAGTTTTATATACGCGGCTGCTGAAGATTTATAAAGAAATCTTGCTTTATTCCTCTAAAAATGATGCTTGCTGTATTATAAATTCGATGTAAATATTACTGACAAAGTATACGGCCTATATAATTGGTTGTTTGCAATATAACCATCGCCTAGCGGCTCGGGTTATATTTACACACAACCGTTTATATAGGGCCATATAACCTGTCAAAATCTTTATAACTAATAATATATATGAAAAGTGAGTTGAGAAATGAGCACCAAAATAATAATTTTTAAACTAGATAACTAACAAAGCATACTTTTTAAGAAGTCATTTGTAAACAGGTATATTAAGTCAAAATAGGATACACAGAAGATAGGACATTACCGTGTATAATACATTTAATTTATAAAAGAAGACTAACCTTCCTACCATTTTGCTGATATGGACATATATATTTAAATGTATACATTATGTGACTTTTTACCTTTAATGTCGAACTCTCCGTCTAAATGTTCTTGAATGTATGATGGTGACAGACTCAATTGATAAACTCCCAGTGTCAGCTCACTCAGTTGTTCACTGTTTAGAACTGGGAAATATATGTCTTCTTCATCGACATTCTTCCACACTGTCTGTTTTCTATCTAAACCTGTCTTCTCTACTTTTTTCTGAAGCTCATTTTCCCTTTCTAACAATCTTACCATTTTTGCTGCCATAGCAACATCACTCTCTGACTGGTCAGTGCTACTGAGTGGGGGAAAGTATTTGTTCGAGATGGAACAAACAATGCGTACAAAGTCGCCAATGAATGGTATTTGGCTATTTGGCATCACATTGTCTAAGTACTTGAAACGCTTGATCCGCGCGTTTGCTGACTCAACAACCCACCTTATCTGAAAATAGACAAAACAAATGAAAAAGGTCATACACCTTAATAAATTAAAATTAGATTAATTTATACTTTGCATTTTAACACGATGAAGCCATTGTAAATTATCCTAAATATTGATAGATTAATTCACTGTTTAATTAATTCACGGTTAATATAAAATAACAGTTATTTTATGAATATCCGATTGCAATAGAAACAAGAGCTGTCAGAAGGACAGCGCGCTCGACTTTTTTAGTGCTTGCCTATAAAACAAAACTTTGACAGTTAAGGGCACACAAGACTTTAACTAGGAATTTCTAAGTACAAATCAAGAAACATTTTCACAGAGTTATCTTCTCTTGCTTACAGATAGGTCTCATGATGGCACATAAGAACTCCAACTTCCAAAGTAATATCTCAAATGGTTAAGTCAACAAGTGGACAAGAATGAAAATTTTAACTGAGTTTCTAAGTCAAAAAGGGCCATAATTCAAATAAAATCCTTAACAGAATTACCTTCTCCTGCCCATGTTTTGGGACCATGATGGTAAACAAGTATTCCAACTTTCAATTTAATATCTCAACCAGTTCAGTCAAAAAGTTGACTGGTACAAAAAAGTTAACCAAGATTCTAAGTCGATAAAAGGCCTTAATTTTTAAAACAAATCCCTGACAGAGTTACCTTCTCTTGCGTACAGATGGGGGTAATGATGTGAAATAGCATTAAAAGTTTCAAAGCAATATCTCAAAGGGTTAAGGCAATAAGTGGATTTTACCCATATTCAATGTATTTTCTAAGTCAAAAAGGGGCATAATTCTGTCAAAAACCTTGACAGAGTTATGTCCTCTTGTCTGTTGATGACGGTCGTGATGGTAAACAAGTATGGTCAGTTTCAAAGCAATACCTCCAATGGTTTTGAAATAAAGTGAGGTGGTACAAAAAACTTAACCAAGCTCAATACACTTTCTAAGTCAAAAAAGGGCCATAATTCTGTCAAAAACCTTGACAGAGTTATGTACTCCTGTCTGTAGATGGAGGTTATGATGGTGAACAAGTATGGTAAGTTTCAAAGCCATACTTGTAATACTTCTGAAATAAAGTGGGGTGGTACGAAAAACTTAACCAAGGTGTGACGCCAACGCTAACGCCGACGCCGACGCCGGGGCGAGTAGGATAGCTCCCCTTTTCATAGAAAAGTCGAGCTAAAAAAGAAACATATCACATTTTAATACTACTCAGTGTAATTTCGTGGATAAATTGCATTAATATTTACCAGTTTTAAAAACAATATTCAAACTCAAATTTCATTTTCATCCATAAACAGTTAAACCTGTGTTAGAAATTAATATAAAAAAAGATCACCCTGAAAATAAAGGCTTTTACAACCTCTACTGGTTAAAAAAGCTGAGTACCTCTACACAACGACAACTCGTCTATAAAGACCATGTCTCTCACTAGATAGACTTTGTTCACATGTTTGACTGTATACATGTATATTTCTAAATATATTACATATTTCAGGAATATTTATATATTTAAAAGTATTTAATAGTCAATACCTTACCTTTGTGACTAAACGACTTTCGTTTGCCTCATCAGATTGAAGCTGCTTCTGTCCCTTTGTCATTAATGCTGGCATCTTTGCATGTATGCCTAAGTCTTCCAGTAGCTCTAGAGAGTCCCTGAACCCGCGATCCACTACCAGCACATCTCCTTCTTCAAGGAAATCCTTCACATCATCTATGTTTGACTTGAGGATGTGGTTAAGGATGGCTGCATCATTGTTCTTTCCATCAGCAAGGTAGGGACCAATTATGTTCACGAAATGTCCTGTGGTTGTAACAATGACCATTGGCTTTACGAGAGGTCGACCTTTGTGAAGACTGTATGTTCTTCTTTGAAACTTGTAATTGTTCGATTTATTGATGTAAATGTATGTGCCATCAAGAACCAAAACAATTTTATCAGAAGAAGAACAAAATAGGGATTTAGCTAACTGTCGTGTATGGTTGCATAGTATTGATTCCCTTGTCACACTCTCAAATCCAAGGTAGAGCGGCACGAAACTTCTCATCAGGGCCTCTCTTACAGTGGCAATGGCACGTCTAACACTTGACTTTGAAAGGCTGAAGATAGTTGAAAGAAGCCTGTTAGAAATGCCTGACTTTAACTTAAGGAGAAACAGTCCAACAGTTGTTCTAGGTGATCGTGACGGTGTTGATTTTATCTTATCATTGATGTGTGAGAAGAGATCATTAAATTGTGGTTTTGAAAGTCCTGTAAGTGAAGAGTAGTCTGCTTCTTGAAGAGTGTCAAAGTTCAGGGAAGAATTCTGTTGAATGCATAAAGATCGCATATTTTGAAGGAGATTAGAAATAGATGACCTGTTCAGATATGAAGATGCGTTGAGGTGATCAATGCCTTCCACAGAATCTATCTTTAGCGTTTTATCTGAAACGTGTACTGGACAACATCTGGCATCTGAATGAACTATGATATTGTGCTGTAGAAATGCTTGAAGTCGACACTCTGAACCCAGGCGAACAAGTTTTGGACCAGCTTTTTTGCAGACAAAACATCTTGAATGGCTCCTGCTTGTTGATGGGATTTTAAGAACTACCTAAAACAGTAAATTATTTCTATATTTACCTTTAGCCTGCCGTCTGCAACATAATCTACCCATGTGATCAGTGCAGACCAAGATCAACCGGCACATCCATGTCGCCTGATTCAGAAAATATTTTAATTTTCCCCCCAAAAATGATCAATGGTTTTGTCCAGATTTAAAAATGGACAAGTTCATTTGAAATGTTTAGCGTGGTAAGGGTTAATCGCCAATTCATCAAAACCACCAAGATCTATCATAAATGAAAGTTTACATATTTAATGAAGTTACAATGTAAGAACACAAATTGTCCCAAACTTTCTGTCATTTGTTTAAAATTAATATTACGTACATCATGTTTAATATTTAAATAATGCTTTTTCATTTGTAAAAAAAATCATATATGTTGATTTATTCTTATCTAATGTTTACAAAATTATAATGCAATTTATTACAAAAATAAACTTACCGATGGAGGACTGATAAGCTGACTTGTTGATGGCTGTGGCACACTGACTGTATCTTTAAGTTTCTTCTGCCTACTCCGGTAAAGTTTTGTCCGGCATGAAGTGCATATTACGTCATCATCACAGGGAAGAACAGATAGAATCTTTCTTAGTAACTTTTTTGCTTTGTCAGGAATGGGACGTCTTCCAGAGGGTTTTATTCTTTTTTTACACACAACGCATTCATAATGTTTAACCATCCTGAAAAAAAACAATTATTCAAGTCTTGTTTATTTTGAAGGGATTTTCATACTTGAATATATTATACCATATAATTTAAAACATTTCTATAATATATATATGTTAAAAAAAAAAAAATTTGTTTCAAAAAAAAAAATGTCGGTTGTTGGTTTCGAACCCAGATCTCCTGCATGTGAATCCATCGCTTCTTCCTCTCTCCTACGGCGGCTTTCACTCTAGAAGCACAGTTTTATGTCTATAACATTAATCGAGTAAGAAATTTTTAATGCAGACGACCACAATTTAAAACATTCACATAATTTAATCGATGGAAACTTACTATTTACATATGTATACAATTTCTGATTTTTACTATAGCTGTTTCTAAATATAAACTCTACTAAAGGACGATTCTAGGCTAAAATTCACCGTCGTTGATGATATTTCCATTCGACTTGTTTTTTCAGTCATCATTCGGCATACGATTTTTTATTATTCCATGGTAGTCTAGATCTAAATTAAGTAAAATAAAGTAATAATAAATCAGTAGTGTTTTATTGTAAGAGCATGTGAGATATTTCCTTTTAGTTTTACAGGGAAACAAATACCTGAAAAAATCGGTTTATTGCTGTCTCTATGTCATGTTGTTTACATTACCAGCGCTGTGTTTCGTACCCACTGCAATTCGTTCCAAAACGTCGCGTTAATAAATTATAATCGTTTGTTGGTTTTTTTTTGTGATTCCAAAGGTTCGCATTCACTTTAAAATATCTCCTTTAAATTTTTTCTTATACAATTTGCTTATCAATAACGTTATTTGTTACGAAAATTATAGGTAATATTGGTTTTTAAATCGATATGTGGCCTTTGATAAATAACAAAGGGTCTCACACTTTCTCATTTTATAATATGAGCGCACGCGTGTTCCACAAAATAACTATTATTTATTTAAAGATAATTGAATAACAAATCGATTTAAGCTGGAATAAAGGTGGAACAAACGTGCGCTCATACTGGGACACTGAAAAATTCCCTATCATAGCACTTAAATATTGCCATTTTGGCAAGAACAGGGTTCAAACAAAAATCATAAAAATCACTTTATACGATGATTTTTATGGAAGAAAATCAATTTCTGTATTTAATTGATGATGTTGATTAAAAACAAAACACAAAATATAGTTTTTCTGTAGTTTTTATATTCCGTCAGTTTTGGGCCATTTTCGGTGGTTAGTGAACCTAGCTCTTTAATCTTTTTAATGAGATGATTATTTTTTCTAAAACCCAGGTCTAGTGCACCGTGAAGCTTAAACGGTTAAAGTGTGTTTGCACAAGAAAATCATATATTTGCTGTGTTCCGGATAGCAACCGTAACACATATATAGATAGATACTTTATTAACTTAAACTTTTACAAGTTTTTCGTTATAACAAATAATATATGATACAAATTTACAATCACATGACAATGGCATACATAGGAACATTGAAATTAGTGCATAACATAGTGGGAGAAAGTAAACATACACACATACACACGCACGCACGCACACACGTACACCAACACACGCACGCACACACGCACGCCACGGTAAAAAATAATATTTATCACATGGAGAAGGAGGATGGGTATGTGAATACAGTTGCAATTCAGTTTATGAATACACAAATTATACACAACCTAGATTTAGTAAAGTTCAATATGCAAATAACATTTACTAGTAGATGGTATAAATGATATGAAAAACTAAACAATTTGACTCGCTCTAACAGAAAAAGCTTTATACAAAAATTTACCGAGATTCTTTACTATTTTAAAATTCCTAGATTGCATCAATTCTACAAATTTGTACACACTTGGATGTCTGTAATAATAAGATTTTATAAAAGTCTTTCTTAATTCATCGTAAAACGGGCAAATAATTACAAAATGATATTCATCTTCTATATCGTTTTTGTTACAAAGTAAGCATTTTCTTTGATTGCGGTCTATTCTATTTGGCGCATATCGGCCTGTTTCAATTCTCAGTTTATGTGATGATAAACGCAGTCTGGATGTAGCAATTCTAAACTTTTTAGGTAAAATGTCTATATAAGATTCAAATTCAAAGCTATTTTTAATATATCCATACGATACTTCACTGGTAGATTACTAACGTTCCCATTATGTTTAAAAACATCAGTTACTCTTCCTTTAAACAAAATATGAATTTTTTTCAAATCAACTAAACCTGGATTATACCATATATAGGAAAATCCGTATTCATCTAAAAGAGATTTAACATTATAAACCCAATTATTTTTATTATTCTTAATTTCAAGTAGACAATCATATAGTTTACTGATCAAGATATTTTCCGTCGATACAGTTTTGCACCAAAATTTAATAATTCTAACATATCTATTTTTATTATATACCTATAAATTTTCTCCCTAAAATACACGCAAATCTTGAAGCGCAAATACGCTTCGACGGATAGAAATTTCCGTATTATGTTAGTGACAAATACGGTTCCATATATGGAAGTGCCGGACTATTTTTTGGTTTGGTCCCCGCCTTTTATTTGCGTTACGTGGTGTATTGAAACGGGAACCAATACTGCAAAGAGCACTTTGTGGGGAATCCATTGCTATATTTAGTAACGAAATTCCGCTGTCAAAATATATAAACAATCATTTTTTACCGAGTTTTATTCACTTTTTTCAACATTTCAAATGTGAAAAACCTATAATTTTGTCCAAATTTCAAAACCTGTTTAATATACACAAATAACGTTCGCGTTAAAAAAGTGTTCGTGATTTTATAGACCGTCTGCAACTGTACTATATACATGTAGTGGGCGTTACTGTCAATGGTAAAACGTAACGGAGCTCTATCTGTTAAAAATGTCCGACGATTTGTTTGACGATGACTTGGACCTATTAACCCTAACTCAGAATGGGTATTTTGATGTTGTTGAACAATCTGATGAATTGTTTGGCTTTGATTTTGAGGAGGAGGTTTCCCAAACTGACCATGCCAGTGAACTGAGTGTTGACATAGCCAACTCCCTCATAGATCTACATCATCATTCTGATCCAGTTCAGCATGACACTGGTAATATAAATAAAGTTAATCCAATCATCACTGAAACTTTGAATTGTACCACACAGTGTCCAGAAAATCTTGTTGGTGAGCTAAACTGTGGCAAATCAAATACTAACAATCCAACCTTCCTCAACATAACTGATGCAGAAAAAGAAAACTTTGTTATAGGAATGAAAAACAAAAACACTGCAAAAAAAAACTGAAACAAGTCTCCGTCAGTTTTCAACGTTGGCTGGCTGAGCCACCAAGAAATGATTTGAGGCAAATCTGGAATATAATACCAGCTGAACTTGACAACTTCATTGGTTCATTCTTGCTGTCAATTCGTAAAGTCGATGGGTCAGAATATGAGCCTGATACACTCACCTCATACCACAGAGGCATTGACAGGTAATACAGTAGACTTGTTTTACATCAAAAACTTTTAAACAGCGATTCAAACCGTTCTGTATTTTTTTTCCATTCATGCTTCTACCACTGGTGACCATTTATTCTTATGTGACTCATGAGTCAATCTGCAGAGTGTAGTGCTAAAATAATTGGTCGTCATATGACACAGCTTCCATTCATCCTGTGGCAAAAAAAAAAATATGTGTTATCTTATAATCTATGTTAATTAAAGCTGTTATGAGTCAAAATATTTTAAGAAAAACAAACTTGAAATTTAAAAAGATTCAAACAATACAAAAGTGAATTCAAGTAATAATTTACATTTTATGTGCGCTTACACTGATTTGACTTTCCCAGTAATTTTAGAGACATTTTTGTATATTTTGACCTCTTTTTGATAATTTATAGAGGTTATTCAAGTTTTTTATTTTGATTGATTTTCATCGAGTGGTATGAAAATAAATATTTCATGAGTGAAATATGGTAATTTTCATGCCACAAGATGAAAATAAATCATGTATTTATAGAAAAAACTTGAACTTTCTGTTTATTATATATACATTTTTCTCTTTTTGACATTAAAATTTGAAAGACTTTCCCTGAAATTTTGTGTACTGGCAGAATTTAAAAGAAATTAGTCCGGCAAGACACCAGTGAAAATACCAAAAATATGTTTTACTGTGGTGAAAAATAAATTTTTACAGTGAAAATGCGGAAAATGAAAATACGCATTTTATTTCATCTATATTTTTCAATATTTCATTTATAAGTATATAATAAATGCAGATGCAATGTGCAATTTGCTTTCATTGTACAATTCACACTACATTTAAAAAAAATCATGAAAATTGTACATTTTAACTTAAATATGTGCTTCCAGTTTAATCATGAATATTTTACTACTAGATCTCTATTAAAAAAGGCATTTACTTGTATTACAAAGGAATGTATTTCTGGCAAAATTTCAATTCCAGTAAGATACTATTTTTACATTTGCATTTGGCTACTTTGAAATTTGTTGAATTGTATTTGATTATTTCACTGTTTAATTTAAAAAGCATATGTAAGATATAATAAATCAATATTATGACATAACATTTTGCATAATTTGTCATTTCTTCAAATTTTATGTCAAGAATTTTTTTTCAAACTTTCAATTCACCTTATCATTATGTATTGTACTATTTTTAGATAATGATTGAATACTAAACAATTTTTTCTTATATTCAAAAATGAAATTCGAATTCGGTATTAATAATTACTAATTTTGAGTCCATTCTAGGCATTCTACCCTTTTTTGCATTTATATAGATCTACATGTAGCATAAATCCAAAAAGATTACAATTTAATTGACTTTTTAATTGTGCAAAACTTCAAATCAATTAAATAAATTCATTCCAATTTTGAACACATATTTTTTTATTTACTTTTAGGTGCCTCAGGGAAAATAAATATCCTCACAGCATCATAACTGACAAGGAATTTTCAACATCGCGACAAGTTTTAGCTTCAAAACGAAAGGAGCTCAAAGGCAAGGGAAAGGGTAATCATCCAAATGCTGCAGAGCCCCTGACAGTTAACGAGAGACAAATGTTGCGTGAAA